AGGGTTAGCATGGTTAGCAGGGTTTATATTGGTTAGCAGGGTTAGCAGGGTTTACCTTGGTTAGCAGGTTTTTTTTTTTAATTTATTTATTTGACAGGGACAGTACAATTAAACATTGCAACCAAACAGGTGGCCGATGTCCAACTACATAAGGCTTGTAGCCATGGGCTAATTTGCAGCCTTCGTCCCTGGTTAGGCTTTTAAAAGGTGTTAGCATTAAGGGGGGGGGACAACACACAGATGCATAAGAAACAAGAGTTAAAACGAAAAAAGAAATGTAATGTAAAGCAGGGTTAGCAGGGTTTACATTGGTTAGCAGGGTTAGCATGGTTTGCAGGGTTTACATTGGTTAGCAGGGTTAGCATGGTTAGCAGGGTTTACATTGGTTAGACGGGTTAGCAGGGTTTACATTGGTTAGCAGGGTTAGAATGGTTAATGTTGGTTAGCAGGGTTAGCATGGTTAGCAGGGTTTACATTGGTTAGCAGGGTTAGCATGGTTAGCGGGGTTTACATTGGTTAGCAGGGTTAGCAGGGTTTACATTGGTTGGCAGGGTTTACATTGGTTAGCAGGGTTAGCAGGGTTTACATTGGTTAGCAGGGTTAGCATGGTTAGCAGGGTTTACATTGGTTAGCAGGGTTAGCATGGTTAGCAGGGTTTATATTGGTTAGCAGGGTTAGCATGGTCTGTTGCTGGGGTCACCGTGCTGGCTCTCTAAAACAGGTTATGTCTGTGCTCACAGGAGAGTTTCTGTTCAGAAACTGAAATGAAATTGTGTAACAGCCGACATCCTTTTCTCAGATTTGTAATATCCTGTTTAGCAATACAGCGTTTCCCAATAACAAAATCAAACATATGGCACCTAAACCGAAGGTGCCCCATTAGCCTGAATTCATCTGGAGAAGTGGAGCAGCCAGTGAACGTGTGTGTGTGTGTGTGTGTGTGTGTGTGTGTGTGTGTGTGTGTGTGTTTCAGATGGATCCAACCCATACACCCTGAAGCTGTGTTTCTCCACCTCCTCCCATGTGTGAATGCAGACCAGGGACTGATCCATCCATCCATTATCAATACCGCTTATTCCCTGATGGGGTCCCAGTGGTCAACGGGCGAGAGGCGGGGTCACCCTGGACAGTCCCCAGTCCATCACAGGGACACACAGAGACACACAAGGACCAACAACCACAACCACTCACATTCACTCCTAAGGGCAATTTCCCCAATCTCTAACCAACCTAACATGCAGGTTTTTGGAGGGTGGGAGGAAGCCGGAGAACCCGGAGAGAACCCACAGACACAGGAGAACATGCAGAACCACCCAGAAAGGTCCTGGTTCCCCCGGGACTCCAACCCAGAACCCTCTGGTCCTGGTTCCCCGGGACTCCAACCCAGAACCCTTTGGCAGAAAGGTCCTGGTTCCCCCGGGATTCGAACCCAGAACCCTCTTGATGGGAGGCGACAGTGCTAACCACCACACAGCCAACCCAGGGACTGATCCCCACACCCAGAGCCCTGCTTCAGACTGGACTCCTGGAGGTCCACCTGGCTGGGGTTTGGTTTTCCAGCAGGTGGAGGGCAGTGCTGATCTCAGCCCACGTTCTCGTATGGACCAGGCCCTAAGCCTTGTCTAGGTCCAGGGCCCTACCCATGTCCAGGGCCTAACCCTGGACCTGGACCTGGCTTTTATGCTGCTCAGCTTTCATGAGCTCTGCTGCTTTTGGGACCTCTGTCATGTTTGAAGCTGCTTCTCTGCTCAGGATATTGGTTTCAGGACTTCTTTTCTTGTGTGGGAGTGAGACTCCTGCTAGCTTCATAAAGATAAAGATAGACTGATCTCACAGTAGAGATGTAGAGTTTTCTTGACTTTGTTCTTCTCTCTCCATCTCGATCAGCAGTATATTTTCTTAATCCATCAATCAATAAAGATAGCGGCAAACATTACTGAGGTGTCCTTTGAGTTGAAGTGTATTTATTTTTCTTCGTGTGAAATAATTTTCAATACATCGTAGCAGCAACCAACGTACACCGTGCCGCGTTCACTTAACAACCGAACTCAGAGAAAAAATCAATTTCCTGTAGCGTCTATATGTGTCATAATAAAGTGCTTGATATGACATAAATATATCACGCACAAGTGGAAACATTACATGGCTGCATAATGGCTGAAAAGAACAATAATAAAATAATATTCACATGAGAACACAACTTAACAAGAGAAATTAATGTGTCACATCGACTCTTATAATCAAAAGAAAGTGCCTAAAGGTAGGGTCAGGGTTAGGCTCAGGGTTAGGGTCAGCCTGAACCACCTCCATCCTAATCAGACCCTGATGCTACTGTTGAGGAAGGAAATAAAACGTTCATTATCAGGTTTGTTATTTCCTCAAGTCCTGATCTAGTGTTTTTCCTTCATTTAAGAAACTGTGGTCATAACATCTGCTGCACATTGAATAAATTCACATTTAGTGTCAGAACAACTCTAACTGGCAACTGACTTCTCCCAAGACTTTAACAAGTCTCCTACAAAATAAATGTCTCCCCCTGGTGGTGGATTCAGGACTTTTAGGAGAGCTTTCTACTCATTCCATGCTGGACATTGATGCTTCACATTTGCAGTTTTATAGAAAGCTGCTCACTGATTGTTGACTCTTTCCCTTTATTTGATGTAACTCTGGCTGATTTTAAAGGTCAATTTATGTTTTGTAACATGCAAAAGCTATAAATAGATATTTTTTACAAGATGATCAGCTCCAAACAACATGGACTGTGGAAACTTCTGGGGGCACTGTTTCCTGTCATGTCAGATTTGGTGAGATTTAAAGCTAAAGTTCTGTCAGGATTTGAGCCTGTTTCTGCTCACAGAAACTAGCTTTGCATCTACCAGCAAACCCCAAAGCTCAGCATCATCATATTTCTTTCTCAGTTTATGTGATGCTTTCAAAAAATAGCTAATAAATGTCAGACTTTCTTTATAAAAGGCAGTTCTATTTCAAACTGATGTTTGACCCAATTAAAACACTGTTTTAACTGTTTCTTGCATCATTTATTTTACATATTTAAAATGTTTTTGGCCTTTGGGCTCCCTGAAACAGATCTTAACACACTTTTACTTACCTTAAAACTGCAACTTAATAAAGAACCGAAGTGTCTGAATCTACAGATTTAGTAGAAGAAAAAAGAGAACTCCCTCTGGACGCTGACTCACTTTGGAAAATGAGGATAAAATCCCCATTGAGGCTCAGAGTCATTGGATTTATTGAATTGAATTTAAATGGAGGCTTTATGTTTTGAATACGAACCCATAGCGTCTAAAGGAATGAATGCTTGACTGGCCCTGTCAGTGTTTGTGTTTAAAGAAAATCCCATTCCAGGTTTCCGGACCGGTGGTTGCCTTTATCTTTTCCTCATTGTTAAGTTTTCTCAAAGCAGATAGTATGATTTCCTTTCCTCCATTTTGATAGTCTACCTGAGTTTTCGTCAAAATTCTGATGACTCGAAATATAGAAAAACTTAATATGAATGTTTATTTGTTGCTTTCTTTCGATTATACACTCTTAGTTTATAGTAACAAAACACCATGTATTTAGTATAGGGAATATTATTCTGTCCATAATGTCTAATATAAATCCGTCTATTAGAGCGAAACGTTTCACGAAAAGCACATTTAGGATAAATAGTCTAAAAAAGGCTCTTACAGGTATGTAACCCTGGGATGTCCCACTGCCCCTGAACGCATCCGGGCGTTCAAAATCCACCTCGCGGCGCGCTGTCTCCCGCTCAGTTCACCCACCAACCTCCTCCCCTGTGATTGGCCGTTTCAAACCGGACCCCGGTCTCTGATTGGTCGGATTTTCGCTGTCGTTGCTGTGCGGTCGATTCAAAAGAGTTCGCCAGCATTCCGGTAGCAGCTCGCCACGGACGGTACACCGATAACCGAGGCAAAAAGGGGTATATATCTGTCATTTTTCTACCATTTCAAGCTCCTTTTATCTGTGAAATTGGTTGTCTAGATGTGAGTGTGGTTAGAGTTGGTAAAAAGTTTGAAAAACCGTTGACGGTTTAGCACCGTGTAGCTGACGTTGGCCGATACTCGGGAAAATACTCCATACCATTTTCGACCGCAGCTTTGACAGTTAAATTTCCAAGCCTATTTCGTTTTAAACCCGGTTTTCTTAGGTCTGTCATGTCAGGCTTCGCTGTTATTTCTTCTTTAGCGGCAAATAGACGCGCTGACTTTGGTTAAAAATGGTGAAAAGGTCACACTGTGGCCCTCCATGTTTGGAGAGAACAAAGTGGTAATCGATGTTTGAAAGAGAAGTCCACCTGACTTGCCTGTGTTTTGTCCTTTAATTTGCTCCCTCTCTTCCAAACTTAAAGTTGTAAAGTAGTGTGTGGAAAACCCAGCCAGACAAAGACTGAACTAACCAATGTCCCTATTTTCTTTCAGGCAATGATGGAGGACTACGTGAAGATCGAGAAGATTGGAGAAGGTCAGGCTGGATGGGGTTTTCATCCTGCTGATTAATTGTCATGTGTTCATTATGTTTATGTTTCTGCATTTGTCAGATGCTTTTCTCCAAAGCGACTTGCAGAGTAGACCCAATATTCCATTTCTCATCACTATGACAATAAGCTATCCAGAGGAGA